AGCCAGCAGTCATTATAAATGGTTTGCATCACCCAGGGACCTTGGTAAACAAACCCACTGCCATGAAATCTATGCCAACTCCTAGCGACCCGATGAGACAGAGTAAATCTGCCCCTCTGGGTTTCCCATGCAGGCCTGCTTCACAAGTGTGGAAGCTGCACCTTTCTTCCTCAGCGAGGCTGGTGGTTTTGAACTGCTGACCTTGTGATTCCTCCAGGTCAGCACAGAAAAGACCTTGCAGTGAGGGTACTAATGTAAAGAATCCACAGCAGACCTTCCTCCACAGGGAACTGCATTGACAGATCGCCTCCAGGTCCATTCAGTATGCCGAGAAAGAGGCAGTGGTCCTAGACCATGCCGCTGGCTTTCCTTTCCTTTCTGCCTCATTAATTCAAGTTCAGGGTTCCTTCCACACACTTGAGTAGCTGGATGCTATACCAATGTGAAGTCCATGGTTTTGATATTCCGTCTCAGGCTGTGAGACTACCTCCAACCTGAGAGTCACTCTTTCTGAACTGCCAATGAAGCCTTACTAAGAAGAATGTATTGTTACAGGCTGCACAGCTGTTAACTTTTTTTTTTTTTTGAATGGAGCAGAGACCTTCTCATCAAAGAGAAGCAGTTTTCTAAGGGAAGTCTACACTATTGTTCTATCCGTCAGAGGTATAGTGTTCACTTTGATCAGCACTGCTCTCTTTTACTGCAATTCGGTTTCACTGAACATCCTGTAATGGGAAGGAAGTTAATAAAAATGAAGGCAGAATAAATTTTTAAGCCCCTTGAACCACTTCCGTACTGTCAACTTCCAATTTATTTTTCACATATAGTACAGAAAACACATTAGCCAGACAAACATAGAAGACACATCTACCACCATGGTGACCGAAATAACTGCTTAAATCGAGCTTCAAATGTTATCCTTGCCTCAGTTGCCTAATGACTGTTTGAAATGTCCATAGGCTCAAAATTCGAGGCACGTCATTTCTATTTATCATTTTCTGATTAGCTGGGTGAGTAACTTTGTAAGACCTGAATCTGACATATATAATATTTTCAAATGAAACCTCCTAGAGATTACTGAATTGAACATATTAGCTTTATATACCCTTTCAGTGCCTTGTGTCTAAAGGGTACTGGGTTTTAGTTTAAATTTGAGAAGACTCGGTGAGACTGGCAAAATTGGATTTTCTAAGGAGTTTTCAAGAAGTCTATAGGACAGCAGTAATGGATACCATTCACTGAGAGGTTAATAAGTACTTAGCATGTTTCTTTCCTGGCCATTGGGTTGCTTCCAACTCATAGTGACCCTGGGACAGAGTAGGACTCACCCCATGAGTGTCCAAGCCTGTCAGCCTTTACGGGAATGGAAAGTTGATTAGCAGGTCCTCATATAACCTACTCTACCAGTAGAGCTCCTTTAGCATATGTTTAGAAGCTTTAAAAATAATATACATGGGCTAATTCAATCTTCTACAAAATTATACAGGCATGATTTACATGCCCATTTAGATTAGGCTTTTCTAAAGCATGAAAAAGTTAAGTAACTTGCTTCTTTTTGGTAAGTGGTGGAACGGGACTACTTTGTAGTTACTAAAACTCATGCTTTCAAAGATTACTTACTGGCAGGGGAAAAGTTTCATTATGTAATAAAATTAGAACATAAAACTACATGTCCATACATTCATGTCTCGCACATCTACACATCAATACACCGTTTTTCAGCAAATCGGTGAGAAAAATGGGTGATTTTTCTTCTTAGTAATTTTGTATGGCTTCCAGAATTTCTTACAATGAACATGGAGCACTTAAAAAATCAGAAAGAAAGCAATACAAATGGTTTTAAAGCCCTGTTTCAGAAGCTAGAGGAAATATACACAGACCAGTTCCCATAAAACATGGGGGGAAAGTTAAAGAGCTATCGTCTTTAAAACAAACGACTAAGATCTTGCTGGTTCTTAGAAAAGTTCCACGAATACTTTAAGAATCAGGTAATGCCCAAAGAAAAAAACAAAAGCTCACTGCCAAGGAGCTGCTTCCAGGGGACAGTGCCACCGTGGGCAGCAGGGAGGAGAACTGCCCGGCTGTGGGGCCTCAGAGATGCTGAAGTTCTCTGGGAGCAGACAGCTTCAGCTTTCACCCTCAGAGCAGACTGGTGGGTTCAAACCACTGACCTTGGGTAACAGCTCAGTTTGTAGCCCATTACCCCACCAGGTAACTCCAGTGCTTTTAAGAATGCTTTTAAGCAGTGATGTCTTATAGCGCTTTCTACGATGACAAAAATGCTCTTTGTGCACTGCCAATATGGTAGCCACAAGTCTCGTGATAAATAGTCAGACTGAGGAATAGAATTTTAAATTTTATTTAATCATAATTAGTTTAAGCATGCACTTATGTCTATGAACCACCATATGTTGGACATGGCAGATTTAAACTACTGACAATAAAGTTCCCAAATTTTTCATATAAAGTCAGTATACATTTGCTTAATCGTTACATAAAGGTGAACAGTAGACAAATCTCATATAGGTGAGTAAAAGATGGTAATAAGATGCTAACCAAGGCAAATCCAGGCCATGAGGATGTCTAACGGCCCTTCAGAATAGTGTGCGATAGGGACTTCAATTCACAGGATTCACTCCTTAGAGTCCCTGGGTGATGAAAATGTGTAATGTGTTTGCCTACTAAGCAGAAGGTGAGAGGTTTGAATCTACACATACGTATTTTGGAAGAAAGGCCTGGTGATATATTTATAAAATCCGGTGGCTGCATTCTCAGAACAGTCCCCCTCTGACACAAAATAGGTCAACACGAGCTGAGGGCAGCGTGATGACAACTGGGCTTCCCACTGGCTCGGTTTTCACTAACAGATCGGCAGAGAAAACTCGGACCATGGATTCAAAGAGCAGTTAAAAATCAAACATCCATTCCTGGTCTAAAAACCTTCTCAAATAAAACAGTGCTAAATTGACTTCTTAATATGATACAATTTCATCTCAGTTCAGAAGACCTCAAGGGGAAATAATAAACTGTAGAAAAAGAAAAGAAAAAGAAAATGACCCCCCCCCAAAGCCCATTACATTCTGGTTGCTCACATTAAATTCAGAGCGAAGAGAAATAGGTTCAGTATAATTACTAGTACATTAACATTACTTTGGAGGCACAAGCTGATGGGAACCCCTGTGGCTGCTAACTGTTAGTCAGTGGTTGGAATACACCAGCTGCTCTGTGGGAGAAAGATGTGCAGTTTGCGTCTGTAAAGATCACAGCATTGGGAACCCTAAGACATTGTTCTCCTCTGTCTGATAAAGTTGCTTGAGTCAAAATTTACTCGATGGCAGTGTTTGGCTTTTGGTTAAACTAATGAAACTAGGTAACACCATAATAAATAAATAAGAGGTTTTAAAATGTGAATAATGCCACTATCTGCATGTATAAGTGATGCAGTCCTGATGACCTAATGCATACAAGCAATCATAAGCATTACAGCGTGGTGGTAACGAACATGGACAGTGGTGCACCAGTGTTAGCCCCATTGATAAAGATACCTCTTGACACTGGCCAAGTTACTTAACCTCTCTGTGCCCAGTTTCCTCCCCTGTAAAATGATCAACTTGTTATTATTAGATGGAGCAAACATCTAAGAACATTTTTATCTGTAATAAGCACTACTTATTATTATTATAGGAGCTTGGTAGGCTGGTGGGGTAAGCACTGATGAGTAGTTCAAAGCCACCAGCCACTCTGAGGGACAAAAGATGAGGTTTTCTATTCCCATAAAGATTTACAGTCTTGCAAACCTACAGAAGCAGTTCTACCCTGTTCTGCAGGGTTGCTGTGAATTGAAATCAACTCAATAGCAATGAATTTGGTGTGGGTTTATTACTATTACCATTACTATTACTATTGCAGTAAAAATGATGAAGCTACTACAGATTTAATATACATGTATCAAAAGTTTTAAATATAGGAACATTTATTTATATAGTAACTCAGTGATTAAATGCCTAGGAATAAACATAGACTAATTACAAGATGGCATAAAAATATTTTAAAGTGCTATTCAACTCAAACACACTGCCATCAAGTAGATTCCAAAACAGAGACCCCATAGGACCAAGGAAACGGCTCCTTACATTTTCCAAGGCTGTACATCTTTATGAGAGAAGACAGCGCTATCTTTCTTCTGAGAGTAACTATAGGTTTGAACTGCTGACCCTGTGCTTAGCAAGCCAACCTTTAGCCCACAGCTCCACCATGGTTCTTTAAAAATGCCGTTAGAGCAGAAAAAGGAAGAGCTGAACAAAGGGACAAAACATGGACTATATGTAGGCAGGATGCTTTACATTATACGGTTACAAATTCCTTGTAAATTATTCTATTGTTGAATATTTCATAATAAAGATATGGATTAAAAATCATATAGTGATTTAAAGTCATATAAAGATAAACATGGGAAAAACGAAGAAAATTCCGAGAAACTAGAGCAAGATAAAGAAGATTAGCATGAACAGATATGAAGTATGTTATAATACTAGAGATGCAATATAATTCTACAGTATAAATCAACAGATTAATGATAGAGTTTTGAGAACATAAATGAGCTAAATGCCATGTGTACATTTTTTAAAAATAAGAGAAACACGGCCACCAAGTGTCGGCCATGCCATGCAAGCCAGGCATGGCCTGTCCAGATGACCATGCAGTGCTCTGCGGGCATTAGAAATGAGAAGGCACCTTGCTTTGCATGTGGATGCAAGATCACCATGATCATTTTTAAGATTGGCAAAGAAAGCTATAGAGTTAAGTGTGTTACCACTTGCTTTCAAAAGATATATACGCACATGTGTTTGCAAATGCAAAGAAACTTTCTCGAGAAGAGGAGGTTTGACTCACTGAGGTCTTGCTAGTAATTTTCTGTGATTTTCCATGTTTGTACAATAATCTGTATTACTTTTTCAATCATTTACACTGCTTTTTTTTTTTTAATGTGAGTTACTCACCTGGTTCCTGTCCCTGGCATTTGCATATCGAAACCTCTGGATATAGTAAAAGACCAGCCATGCGAGGGAAATGATCATCAGGACAATGAAGGAGATGGAGACAAACACAACCGAGGTGCGGCTCACATATTTCTGCAAGTTCCGGGTCCCGATGGTGATGTACATCGTCACAGTGATGTTTCTTTCCAGCAGGCTCACGATCTCCTTCCCTTTCGGCTCAGGAATCATTATGGCCACGATGTCTTCTACGCCTGTAGAGGGGCAAGAAGGCCAGGTCACCGCAAGGGTCAGGACAAAAAACCACGTAATTCCGTGATGGCCTGAGAAGGCCTCGTCGAAGGACCACAGAGTCCAATTTAGCTCTGTTTGGGGGATGTTCCTGGGTGGTACAGATGGGTAATGTGCTCCACTGTTAACCGAAAGGTTGGGGGTTCAAATCCACCTACTAAGAACAGCCTGGGGATCTACTGAATAAGCAGCCATTGACACTGTATGGAGCAGAGTCGACTCTAACACATTTTGGGGGTCACGATAGTCAGAGCTGGCTCCACAGTAACTACTTTCTCACCCCCCACCCCCATCCCCACTACTCTAGCTATCTAGGGATGCTGTGGTCTTGCATATGAGAAAGGAGCCCAACTTTTATTCATGATTCTGGCAATAGCACGGTCGTGATCATGCCCTGCCAAACCACTCTCCATCCAACTCTCGAAGGGGCTGACCCCACGGTTCAGAATCTGGTTCAGGAGAACCCTTCCAAAGTCACCCTGTGTGCAGTGACATGCTGCGCTCCACGCACTGCCCCCTGCCCGCCCCCAGGAAGGGCACGCTCTTGATCTCCATGGAAAAGGGGCGAGATGGCAACTTCCCTTCCACCAGCCTGAGAGCTTTCTCCCTCTTCCCCACAGACACGAAGAAGGCTTAGTGACAAACCTCAGTCATCTCCACGGCAATTTTCTCTTACAGCGAGGACCCAAGAACCAGAAAGGATTCCTTTTTTAAAAAGCTCTAATATGATTCGCTGACATAATAGAATGGCCTCAGAACTAGTTTCCATTCATCTGATCAAATTCAATGGATACCTGGGTGTCCTGCTATCAAGGAAAGGGGAGACCTGCACTCTTAAAACCCATCATACCATAGCCCTGCACTAGCAGGGCAGTTGGAAGCAAACACAGGTCCAAGTTGTCAGAGGTCTCACTTCTCCCTGGAATGGGTAAGGGACAACCTCTGGGGAAGGAGATCTGAGGCTGAGTCCTCATGCCAGAGGACACACACACACACACACACACACACACACACACCGACTCTACACAGGGCTACAAGGAAGGAGATGCAGCAATAAGCCCCAAATGAACCAATAAGCACGTCACAGTGACTGGTACACATAACAGAATATCAGTTAAAAACTTGGAGCCTGTCACTGGAGTAGGCTTCGATTCATTTCTACAGATCTCTTCATGGAGAAAGAAGATAATTAGGTCACAGAAGCCCCACTTCCCATGGAAATGCCCCATTACTTGGAGAGGCTGCAAGTTCCAGAGGACACCTTTGTGATTCCGATGCTGTAGCTTTAGGCCCAAATTCAACACTGGTCTAGCCTTTAGAGGTGGCCTTACTCGAATCCAGCCGGCTCAAAGGAACTACCAGATTACATTGGCTCACAAGGTTACCGGTCTCATAGAAGCTGCTTAGAGATTTCCCTTGACCCTGATCTTGACTTAGGTTTCAATTCTAAATTCCTTGGTGGTGCTTCATTTAGACTTGGGAAAAATCATGTGCCAAGGTGTCTATGTATGTTACATCAATCATATGTTAAAAAGAAAAATCCTATACCTTTGTATTGCTCCAATTTTAAAGAACCATAAAACCACGTAGCATATTTGCTTAACTGCTATTTCTGGGAATTATTGACAATGATGGCTCGCATTTCAATAGTGCAGAATTTGCTAAGCATTCTACTGATCCTCGTGTTCATGTTTACTACGGTGAGTGCTGCATGTGGGCTGAGGTTTTGCGTTGGTTTGAGCTGCTGACAGGCTGTGTCAATACAGAAATATGATCCTCTTTGCATGCTGGATTAGTCTGGCCTGGTGGGGCTCATCTCTGTGCTATAGCTCTTTCATAGATATTTAAACCTAATAAAAGCACCATAATTTTAATTTTATTTGCTCTTGTGTTTATATTGTTTAGTTGTAACTCGTCAAGGCTCTAGAGTGAGATTTTTTTCCGAGGAAGAGGCCCCGGAGTTACTTGTGAGAGTTTGTAGGTGAAGAAATGTGAAAGCTTTATCACTTTGAGTAGTCAACTTTCCTTATATATTTCTTTATGAAAATTTTTGAAAATATTCTTAGAAAGCTCAGCTCCATCAGAGATTATAAATGTTGGAAGTGGCTCTAAGACTTTGATGGTTTCGTTGTTTACATTTAGCTCTTGAACAGCCTGAATGTGTTTTTTATGAAAACACAGTATGGAATTATTATATGAGTATTGTGAACTCATGATTAGGATCCAAGTTATTATTTTCCAAAATTCCTAGATATATCTGGGCCTACCTTTGGAGTCACCCACCCCCACCACCCGGAGGTTAATTAGCCTATCCTTTTCTAAGCCTGTATCAGGATATCTCAGCTATGTGATTTTAAACTTATTTCCAATATGGTAGGCTAAATTTTTCTTCATGATATCCTTCCCTGCCCTGACATAATTCCCATGATCAGTTTACACTTAAGAGACCACAAGGATTAAGAAACCAACTGGACAACTTGTCTGAAATCCTAGCTCCATGTTTAACACACAGGTAAGTACATTTTTGATATCCACAAAGCTTGAAAGTCCTCATCACCCATTTCCAGGGGCCTGCGAAATAGTTTTCTTTTTCGGTACTATAAATATGTGATTAGCTATTTTAAAGCACTTATTTTAAAATCAAATGCTTACTTCCAAAAAACCAAACTTGCTGCCATCGAGTGAGTCAATGCTGACTCTGAGGCTGTCACTGCTGATGGCGGTAGAAAGTCCTGTCTTTCCCAGGTAGAGCGGCTGGTTGTTTTGAACAGCTGCCCGACTCATCACTACTGCCCCACCTGAGCTCACACCACAAATATTCATCATGCCACTGCTGGGCCTTCATGGTAGATGAGATCGACGTGGGGATTCAAATCGTGCCAATGGTGGTGGTTCTATGCACCTGGGTTTTACGTTTATTGCCTTTTCAATATTCCTGCTGACGTTCTAGGATTGATGATGATAAACACAGGTGGGATTCTGGGAGATTTCCCCCTGCACTTTAGCTTCTGTAGTGGATGTAGTAGACAATAACACCCAACTCCAAGCTCATGGCCAAGGATTTGATCAGGACTCATAGCAACCCTGTAAGACAGAGTTGACCTGCTCCCCAGGGTTTCCGTGACTATAAATCTGGATGGGAGTAGACAGTCTCTTCTTTTTCTCAAGAAGCAGCTGATGAGTCTGAACTGCCAATGCTTAGCCCATTACTAACCAAGTCAAATTCACCACCCTGGAGTCAATTCTGAATCACAGCCACCCTATAGGATAGAGTTGCACTGCCTCTGGGTTTCTGAGACTTTAAATCTTTACTGATGTAGGCAGCCTCCTCTTTCTCCCATGGAGTGACTTGTGGGTTAAAACATCTGACCTTGCAGTTAGCAGCTCAGTACATAGCCCACTCCACCACCTACATAATTTTGTATTAATCCAAGTAGAGAGAGTCATTAAGAATTTAGGTACTTATAATATCTAAAGCTATTACAACATGAAATGAATTTGAATGAAGGAGCTGATCAATGTACAAAATCCATGCAATAGCTAGTCGGGACCTAACTGTGAGAAGGAGACTTGTGCACTAATGAAAGCGAGTAACCAGCATCACTGTAGGAGAAACGTCAGGTTATTTACAGGCTTGAATGGGAAAGAAGTAGTTGATAGGTAGCACCTTTGAATGGGTAAAATCTGAGGGGGGGTGTGGGGAGCCACAAACCACCTGATTTGAGTAATCCTGTATTGACTGCAACAGCCTAGTCCCTCGAAGACCAAGTACCTTTCTGCAAATTTTATTAGCGTACCAGCTATTTTCCTACCAAAGGTACACTGTCATTCAGAGTACTGGGTAATCACAGTGACGTAATTCCTGTGTATTCTGGAAGAGCCCTTCAACCGTGAGACTGTGTGACCAGGACACACAGGACCTGGCGGCCAGACAAAACAACAGGAGCGCCCTGTATTTTTAGTGCTTCCTTCTCGCATGCTCGAACTCAATTGCCATGATCTCATTTGGATGCAGATAAGGAAGGAAGCACAACCAAAGTCCCGAAAGCCAACGACGGTTTAATAACCAGGAAATCCCTTACTTGTAAATCCAAAACTAGGTTAGTTAAACCTGGCATGAAAGGACCGTCTTGGAAGCCACCAGCCTGCAGCCTCATGCCTCTCTGGGCAACGCGGAACAATTCCCCCTGGGTTCATGTGAAGCAAAATCCTTGTCAAATCCCTGACAACCCTATCTCTCCCCTAATCTTTACTTCAGTCATACTGACAGCAATTTAGGATTCGGGCCATAATTTTAAAAGGCGGCAGTGTTCCGTTTGCAGATATTTTCCACTTTAAACACTTAATATCCGGTTTTTAGAATACAGTGTTGTGGATTAAAGTATTCCCTACCCCCAAATTATGTGTTATTAATTATAACCTCTGTTCTGTGGTTATAATCCCATTTGGGAGTAAGTTTTCTGTTATATGAGTGAGGCAAGATATAGCAAGTTAATCATTGGCAATCAGTACTCCTTTGTTGTTGCAGTACAGTCAAAAAACAGAACTCTTCACATTGATTCTGAATTGCTTGCTGTATTGTTTTAGTAAAGATTTAATTTGCATATAAAAAATCACGTTGACAGCCTGATGGGTGTACATATATAATTGATTAAGCTTATGAATTGTATTCAGATCTTCCATACCTTTGCTTATTTGGATCTAGTTGATTTGGGGGCTGAAACGGGTGCCTTAGAATGTCTAACTCCCATTGTTGATCCATCTATTTATCTCTGAAATCCTGTCTGCTGCTAGTCAATGTATTTTGAGTTTATACAGTTAAGTGCAAAGAGCGCTGGTAGTGTAGTGGGTAAGCATTCGACTGTTCCCCCAAAGATTGGCCATTAGAATTCATCAGTGTCCCCATGGGAGAAAAGACCTGGCATTCTGCTCCTGTACAGATCCTGGCCAAGAAACTCGATGGGGCTGAA